AGGACAGTCTCCAAAGCCACAGAGAAACCCTGTCTCGAAAAATAAAAAAGACTTATTTTTACTGCTTTTAATCATGTGTATTGTGTAGGGGTGGAGGTGGGTTTCCATCATGTGCAGTTGCCCAGGCTTCAGGGTCTTTAAACCAGAGTTACAGGCTGGTGTGAGCATTCAAGGGGAGTGCTGGAAACTGGACTTGGGTTTTTAGGAGAGCAATAGATCCCTAACAGTTGAGCCATCTCTCCACTCCCCCCATCTGCTCCCAATACCTGTCAAATAACCAAGGTCAAGACAACTGTCCTGTTCTCAAGCACCAGGCAACAAGAAGGGAATGTTCTAGACTAATATTCAATAAAAAAGAAGAAGTACAAAAGGCACTAAACGTGACACTGGGGTTCCAAATCAGCCTGAGAGGAATTAGAAGGAGCCAGGTGGGAGCAAGACCTGTCTGAGGTTGGTGCTTCAGCAACAGAAAACCGACATGGGAGTTAATGAGATGCATATAAACAGGACCAGCAAGGGGGGGTACAGGAAGGAAATGCAGAAGAGATGCACAGTAGAAATGAAGGTGGAGGGAGCTAATGGGCTGCCAGCCTGTAGAGTTGGTGGTGGTCTTAAACAGCCTCAAGGGTGGAGATGTCACTCAGTGGTGCTTGCCTAGAATCCCCCAGTGAAGGGTTGGGGTGTGGCTTAGTGGTACAGCCTTTGCCTAGAATCCCCCAATGAGGGGTTGGGTTGTGGCTCAGTGGTACAGCCTTTGCCTAGAATTCCCCAATGAGGGGTAGGGGTGTGGCTCAGTGGTAGAGCACTTGCCTAGCTTGTACAAGGCCCTGGATTCCAAATCTAGCACCACAAAAATAAAAATGTAGTAAAAGAAATAGCCTATGTATACTTATTTCTACCTCACAGCCCCATCTTTCCTCCAGACAACTCCTTCCCTTCTCTAGGCATCTGTCTACTCTAGTACCTGTGTCAGGATGTGGAGTCCAAAGGTTTCTAGTTGTAGACAGGTCATTACAGAAGTCCCCGTGGCGGCACACGTGCACATAGGTGATGATGGAGATTCCGGGACCTGTTCTATGCCTGGTGATTTCAGGCTTTCTGTTTGCATCACTAGTACATCCCTTAGTGAGAACCATGTGAAATTCTTGTCCTGGAAACAGAGGGAGGCTGGTGTGAGCACAGATCTACAGTGTCCTAGTGGGAGGTGGGATAGAGGCAGGTGAGGAAGGGACCAGACACAGGAGGGGGTTCACCTGCTCATGAAGGAGTCCTAGATTCCAGTGCCATGCAGATGGGTTATGGAGTCATTCCCAGGATGTGGTGGGAGGGGCTAGTGATAAGAGCGGGACCTCCTCTTACCATTCTGTATTAGCATCAATGTTTCCTGGCACCCCTGGCCAGCCTCACAGGTTTTCCAGTCAGTTGTCCAGCTCAGGTGCAGATCTGATACATTCCGTACAGTGTCTAAGGCCACACTGTTGCAGTCCAGAGCCTGTGGACCTGGACAGGGAGATCAAATCCACTTCAGGGGCTTCCCCAGCTCCATGTCCCAGGAAACCTCTTCCTGGTGGAACACATCATAAACACTAAAGGTTGGCCCCCTTTCAGGACTATCTCTTGTGCTACTCGAGGCAGGAATCCTTGGTGTTAGTGACATCTAGCCTACATCCTCAGACTTTTCCATCTACTTGGGTAAAAACATCAACACTGAGCTGGTGAGATGTGGTTCAGTCAGTATAGCCTTTGCTATGCAAGCATGAAAGCCTGAGTCTAGGATCCCAAGAATCATGGAAAAGTTGGGTGTGTGTTGTGGCTGGTGAGGTGCCTCCTCTTGCAGAGGACCTGAGTTTGGATCCCAGCAACTACATCAAAAAGCCCATGACCACCTGTAACACCAGCTCCAGGGAGACCCTTTCCTGACCTCTCTGGGAACCGGCTCACATAAACACACACATTGAAAAAAATCTTCAGAAGCATGTTGTATGGTGTATGCCTGTAATCCCAGTGCTGAGGAAGCAGAGGCAGGTGGATTCTTGGAGCTCACTGACCATCAAGTCTGTCTTAATTATCAAACTTCAGACCCCAAGACACACATTCTCGTACACACACACACACACACACACACACACACACACACACACGTACATGCACTCACTCACACCTGAACAAACCTAGCACAAACCCAGACACACCCACTAAAACAAAAACTTCCAGGAAACCTAGGCTTTTCCAGGGCCATGCAAAAGGCAGTCATCAATCCCACCCAAGCCCCAGCACATGGTCCTGAACTGACTGTTGTAAAACATCACATAGGAATCGCCCTCTTCTCAACCTCCTCCTGACCCCTCTGTTCCACTCAACACAGCCACATTCAGTACAACATTAGCTGAGACTTCTGTCATTGTGCCTGTCCTTTAGCTCTCTCCTGCAGCTGGACATCTCTTCAGGCTCACACTCTCTAGCCCTCCAGCCACTCTCTGAAAGAGTCCTCTCACTCCTACCCTGAGTGATAAATAAGCTTTGGATTTTTTGGGAATGGCTAGGGCTTTGAGGTATTCTACACTTTACAACTATAATCTCATCCTGAGGCTTGGCCTACTCACCCAATTGAAGACCGCAGTTTTCACTCACATCCAAGGTCCCAATTGCCTTGGTGCCATTGAGCAGGTTGCAGTCTGGCTGGGGCATGCAGCCCTGCACCCTCAGATTGGTGGTGATGTGGGCTAGGCAAGGGAAAGAGGACAAAGGGGGGAGGGTAGACAAAGTTGACACAAAACCTTCCAAGTCTCAGGCAAACCCAGATCCAGGGTTCAATGCCCACCTCAGTTTACCCATGTTCTCCAGGCACGTGGATATCAATGCCTACCTAGCCTTTTCTCCCAGGGTCCCCTAGTCCAGGCTTACCTCCCCTAAGCCTGAGGACTCCATTGTAGCAGTGTGTACTGCCTATGGGGCAGACTTGCTCGAGGGTGTCCTCACAGCCATCTTTAGAAAGGCAGAGTGGACAGCGCAGGGTCCCTGGGACTGCAGGTGACAGATGCAGTGAGGGGCAGTGGGAAGGCCTCCTTCCCACTTTGTTACCCAGCATTCCCTCCTGAGGTTCCCCTTATACAGGTTCATCTGCAGAGATTTCAGGCTATGGTCTAGTTGGGGGATCAAGGACAAAGGGCTTGGGGAGATGAGCAGAGACCCTGGGGCTGAGGTCAGAATGGCTCTGGGCCTGTGGAAGGATGACTTTTGAGACGGGACAGAGACACAGATTCCGCCAAGGAAAGGAGGGTGCCCTAGTATGAACCAGTGGTTTCACCCATAACTTCTGCTAAACAGTGAAAGAAAACAAACATTTATTCAGCAAATCTTCCAGCACACCACTGCCCCAAATGTCATATAACAGCAGCAAAGGCTGTGAAAAGTTCCAGGCCAGGGCTGGGACATGCCTTGGGGACATGAGGACCTGTATTCAGTTCCCACTAGGTGCACTGGGCCACTTAAGAGGCAGAGCCAACTGTGTCCTTGGGGTTTGATCCTCAGCCAGCCTAGACTAATCTGTGAGCTAGCTCCAGGTTCCAAGGAAAAACCTCGTTTCAAAGACACTAAACTAGATGGTTTCTAGGAAGAATACCCCAAGTTGGACTCTGGCTTCTACACATATTCACACAAATATGCACCCCGTCACACACACTTGTGTGCATGTGTACATGTGCTTACACTAGCCCCCCGCCCCCTCCCCCCACACGAACACACCAACACACCTACATTTTCAAACAACACCAACAACAATCAACAAAGTTGGAGGCCAATGCCCCTTAGGGGAAGGAAACACAGAAACCCTATATGAGAGCCACCAGTGACCGGATCCCAGCCACACACAGAGAAGGGCTATGTCGAAAGAGCAGGGGTGGGATCAAGTGCCAGCCTTGAAGGCTGGTGGTTCAACATCAGAAAATATGGCTAGCTCCTAACTCCAACTCTGTTGTAAAATGATGGCAGGAGTGTTCTGAGGTGGGATGGAGGGAGGAGAGGGTGGCAAGAGAGGGAAAAGAAAAGAAGCGGTGCAATCAAGGGTGGGGTCAAACTTCAGTTGGCAGGTGAGCATGTTCTCTCCCAGAGCCCCTCCCCTTCCTTTTAAGAACTTCTCCCTCCTCCTCTCCTGACATTCTTTCTCCCTGGGGCACCTGTGGGTGAGGGTAGGTCCCCAAGAACCTCAGTGCTGGATACATCATTGCAGAAGTCACTATGGCGACACACACGGGTGTAGGAGACGATAGAGAGGCCAGGACCGGTCCTGAGCCAGGTAACCCGGGGCTCTTGGTCCTCAGCCTTAACACAGTCCTTGATGATCACCAAGTTTATTCGGGGTCCTGGATGGAGAAGGGAAAGAGGGTGAAGGTGGGGATTGGGATTCCAGAGTCCTGGAGTGAGTTTGGGCATCCCGAGGTAGGTGAGATGCTAGGAAGGAAGGGACTGGGCATGCGTGCATTGCACCTGCTGGTGAGGAAGAGTCCCTCCCAAGCATGCAGGATGTCCGAGAGGGCGCGGTTCCTCGGGGAGTTTCTTACCATTCTCCAGGAGCATCACCAGGTCTTGGCAACCCTCGCCGACCTCACAAGTTTTCTCGCCGGTCTTCCACTCAAGGGGCAACTCCGAGGCATTTCGCACAGTCTCTATTGTCGCCCTTCTGCAACTCAGAGCTGGTACACCTGTGATGAGAAGATCAGCTCCATCTCAGTTGGTTACCTTGTGCCACTTCCTGGGACAGACGTCCCCTTCCAGGCAGGATTTCTAACGTACAGGGTAGCAGAACAGTGACTCCCAGGAGAGTCAGCACTGGCGTAAGGTTCATGATTCCAGTCCGTGGCTAGAAATGACTCCAGTGCTCTTTATGCAGGAAATGCAACCCTTTTTATACCCAGGATTACCCAAGTCAGGCCAGGAAATAGAAAGTACTGCCTGGCAATAGACACCAGGCCAGCGCCCCTCCCTGAATCCACTACAGGAAAGGCTAGGCTGTTTGCATAGTCCCTTCCCCCAGACTGAAGAGCACAGACCCAGCTTTCAGCCTTTAGAACCAGGGATCCAGCTCCTAGGCCCTCCTCCCTCAGCCTTCTTGCCACTAACCCAAGGGTCCAGATCGTAACACCTTTCTCAGAGCCTGGAGCCTAGGACCCAGTCCTCCTCCCTCAAATCCAGGGGTTCAGGCCCTAGCCCTCCTCTCTCATACCCAGGACTCCAGGCCCAGCCCTCCTCCCTCAGACCCAGATCCTTTTACAATAAGAAATGGAGTTATTCTGGTCCCCAGTGACCCTATGGCTCTTACCTTTTGAGCCACCTGTGTGACCCCTACCATGTTCCCAGGTAATACCGGAATCCCATTTCTTCATCTCAGGGTTACTCAGCCACCTTCTAGTCAGGTGGGGAAACAGCTCCACTGTCCATGAGGATATTACAAAATGTACCTCAGCCCTTCTTGTCCTCTTTTCTGTCTCCCACTGGTGATCGCCTTTGCTTCTTTCTGTCCTTTCTACATTGCTTTTCTATCTATTCTTCCATCTTCAGAGCTGTTCCTCTGGTCTTTTCCTCACGGAACAATATAGGTCCTGGAGTCTTCACTTCCCTCCCATCCAGGAAGGAGTTGAACAAGGTGGCAGTAGTGGCTGAATATCTATGAGAAGTAATGGATTTCTTGAGGTGCTGGAGAAATGGTGACTCAGTGGTAAAGGGCAATGGCTGCTCTTATGGAAACCCCAGGTTCAGTACCCAGCACCCACATGGCAGCTCTTCAGCCATTTTTGGCACCAGGTATGCACATAATACACATTCATACCTGAAGGCAAAACACATATGCACATAAAGTGAAAAGAAATCAAAAATGATATTTGTTGACAATGCAAAAATCTCCTTGTCCCAAAAGGACTTAAAAAGTGGTAAGCTAGAAAATCATCATTATCATCATCATCATCATCATCATGTTTAGGAAAACAGCATCCGTAAATGTTGATCTGCTTTGGGAGGTAACATGCATTCACTTGCAACACTCAAGTTTTTGCAATGCTGGCCTGGAACCCTGGGCTTCATGCATACTAGGCAAGCACTTTATCAACTAAACCATGCCCCCGTCCTCCTTCTTTCTTTTTTCATTAGATGTCGTTGCTAAAATTCATTCCCTGGGGAAGACATAACATCTACACCTCCTGCAAAGGTCCCAAGGACAATCCAAGATACAATTCCACCACGTTCACCCTTGGGAGTCAATGGCTATGTTAGGCTTATGGACAGAGCAATGGAGATCATGCATGGGCAGAGGCCTTAAAGGAACTACACTGGAAGATAGCTGAGGCCTCCCTTAACGCCACATAGATGAGCCTCCTCCCTGGCCTTGCCCAGCCTAGGTACTTCTGGCCTGTCCCTGAGGCCACTCGTAATTAGGGCAGAATTGCATACACCTATTGGGAGACTTGGCTGGAGACTCTGGTGAAGGTCCCATGGCCTTTCCCCTCACCCCTCCCACTACAGCGGCACTGGCAGGGAGTGATCAATGTAAAAGTCAACAAGTCCAGCTGTGGTGATCTTCTGCAAGTGGGCACAGCTGGATTCACAAAGACAGAGACAATTTGACTGGGAGGACAGGCCTGTCCAGCAGGTGCCATGGCAAAACTTCTAGTTCTTTGTCTTAGAGGGTTCCTGAAACTGACTGTGGGGTAGGGGGATGAGGCTTGCTCAGGGCTTTGGAGGTCAGTGCTGTGTTCAGTCTAGAATCAGTTCTGGGCCCTCAGCCAGCAGTCTGGCTGAATCACTTGCTTGATTTCTCCTTCTCTGCAGGCAGAGGGGCTCACCTGCTGTGAGGAGGCTGGGTCATGTTAGAACTTGTACCAGATATTTACCCAGAGTTGTGAACCAGACTCCTGAGCACTTGAGTGGAGACTTCTCCATGGAGATTGGTGTGATTCTAAATTGTATCCTATGAACAGTTCTTTCTTAGAGATAACAATGCCACAAAACACCTTCCCAGACTTCCTTACTGACATGAGAAGGAAGTACTTTCCCTCTGGGTTTCCCCCAGCTCCAGTCTTGGTACCTGCCATACCCCTAACCTTCCTGGGGTGTGACTGTCTCTTCCTCAATAATCCTAAGCAGGGCCCTGCATGAGACCTCTCAATGCACAGGGCCAGTGGATGACAAGGATCTCCCACTCTGTTCATCTTTAGAATTGCTCAAGGCATGATTCTCCCTTCCCTTATTATTATTATATTAATATTATTATCATTACTGAGTGCTAGAGGTTGGACCTAAAGCCTCACAGGTGCTTGTCAAAGCACTCTATCACTGAGTTACAATGGCATCCCCGATGTGATTGGTTTTCAACACCAGTCTCTGCCTCCTAGCTCTTGAATTCTTAACTAACCAAAGCACTTTGGGGGCTTTGGGTGAGTGAACAAGGGCTTCCTTGGGGTGAGCAAAGCCCTGGGTTTGATCCTCAGCTCCATTTGAAGTGGGCCTGGTGGTATACCCCTGTAATACCAGCACTCTGGGGGTGCAAGCCGGAGGACCTCAAGTTCAAGGCCAGCCTAGGCTAACTAGGGAGACTTGTGTCCCAACAAGACAAGAAGAGGAAAGAAAAGAAGAGGGGTGGAGGGGTCAGCTCAGCATTAAGAGGGCTTGCTGCAGCAGACTGGAGTTCAATTCTCAGCACCCATGTTGGACAGTTCACAGTTGCCTGTAATTAGCTCTGGAGGGGTTGTCCAACCCCCTCTTTTGGCCTCCAAGGACACGTGCACACACATGTATATAGCCACATAGACACAAATACACACATGTTTAAAAAAAAAAAAAACTAAGAAAGAAAGAAAAAGAGAAGTGAAGGCTTGGTTCACAAAGCCAGGAAATTGTGGCCACGGGCAGGAAGGCTAGCTCTTAACACCATTTCCGCTGCTCAGATGCCCAAGTCGCTTGAAGGATCCTTTTCACATCTCTTCACCTGCCGACTGTCCAGGGTTCTTGGGAAAATTAAAGTTTTGCATTTGGCACAGAGACTTGCATTTGGGTTGAAGCACATATAATAAAGAAGGGACAGAATTGTGTCTGCACAGTGCTTAGCATGAGGACTTGAGTTCAAGCCCCAGAACCCATGCCAAAAAGCCAGGCACAGTGAGTGACTGTTGGGTCCAGAGGCACAAAGGTTGGGGGAACAGACCACCAAAGACTGAAGCAGAAGCAAACATCATTTTAAAAAAATCACCATGGGGCACAAAGGGCACAAAAAGCTTACTAGCTAACTGGGACCACAGCCAGTCATGGAGCTTCCGAAGCTGTGGCAATGGGGGCTGGGTTTGGGCTTCTTATAGTAAAATCAAGCACCAGGCGTATGTCAAAGAGCTTTTACAACCTTGAGGTCAGGCTTAAAGTCACATTACAGTTGAAGTTTTTTTTTGTTCGCTTCTATTCCTCCCTCTGGTTTTCAAGACAGGATCTCTCTGTGTAACAGTCTTGACTGTCCTGGAACTCATTCTGTAGACCAGGCTGGTCTTTAACTCACCGAGATCCTTCTGCTTCTGCCCTCCCAAATGCTGGGAGTAACGGCGTGCACCCCCACTGCTGTCTACATTTTAAGTTTTACAACTTTTGGCTATAAGATGTTAGGATGTTAGCTTAGGATGTTTGCGAAAGCCTGTGGCTGACACAGCTGCTTTCACAGTCCCTGAAAGAATGCAAGGCATAGAGTAGAGTCACGTAGGAGGACAGTTAAAAATTAAGGGAATACAAAACAGAGGGTCCCATAGAGGCAATGGTTAGAAGCTAACCTTTGTGGTACCTGCCTCGGTGGGAAGCTGGGAGGCGGGAGACAACTGTTACAAGTTTACTTCTGTACACAGTGGCTGCTAGAATGTCTGCTTTTAAGGTAGGAAGAGGTTAACAGTAGCTGGGCAGTGGTGGTGCACACCTTTAATCCCAGAACTCTGGGTGGCGGAGGCAGGCAGATCTTTGTGAGTTCGAGGTCAGCCTGGTCTACAAAGCTACACAGACAAACCCTATCTCAAAAGTCCCACCCCCCCTAAAAAACAAAACAAAATGGTTTTTTTTTTTGCTTTTTTTTTTCCAAAATGTGTTCTGGCTTACAATTTTATATTTCTACATTCCTGGACCCTTCATCACAGCATTGGGAGGCAGAGACGCGAGGGCTCTGGAGTCCTTTCACAGCCTAGCCTAATCTGCAAGGCCCAAGTCCCCATGAGAGACTGTCTTAAAACACAAACCTTATTGGGGGAGAGAATGGAAGATTCCTCAGAGGTTAAAGTGTTTGTTTTGCAAGCATGAGAATCTGAGTTCCGATCTCTGACCCCCAAGTTACTGCCAGGTTGTAGCTGTGTTATAGAAATTACTCAGGGAAGAAAATGAAGGACTGAATCCAGAATCATCTTTAAATGATTTTTCACTGCTAGCCCTTCCTTGCCCCCATCTTTCTTCCTGTCATTACTTCCTTTTTTCCTTCTTTCCTTTCTTCCTTCTGTATTTGTTTGTTTGTTTTTACATCCCAAGGACAGTGCCCTTTCCTTCTTCTCCCAGTCCCTCCCTCCATCTGCCTTCCCCATCCACTCTTCCTCCTCCATTTCTCTCCAGAAAAGGGCAGGCCTCCTATGGATATCAACTAACCATGTTCTATCAGTTTGCAATGAGACTAGGCACCTCCTCTCCTATTAAGGCTTGTGGTTGTACAAATTAAGATACACAGTATTGGGATGACATAGGTTAATTTTATTGAGAATTCACTTACATGAGAAACTGATAATCCAGGATCAACACTCTGAGGATCAAAGTTCAGCTGCCCTCCATGACCCAACTAGAACC